CGGAGACAGTGCGATTGGCACAGGACAGAGCGGAGTTTAGGGCTGTTGTACATAGGGTCGCTATGAGTCGCAGGCAACTCGACGGCACATAACAACAACAACATGATCATAGCAGTGCTATTCACAATAGCAAGAAAATGCCCATGAACAAAAGAATGGATTGCAAAATTGTGGTATGTTCACAAAATAGAATACTATGCACCAATAATGATTAGTGATTTGTAAAATACTATGTAAAACAAGAAACTCTAGAAAAAATTATATTGGGTGAACTAGCTCAGTCTCATAAGGACAAATATTGCATAGGAACGTTATTGTAAAATTAGAAGTATAACTTGCAAGATGTTTTTAAATGTCCAAAAGAAGAAGGGGAAAGGGGATGAGGGAAAAGGAAAGAAATCACTAGCACAGAGGAGTTTAGTGGAAGACTGGGTTTGAGGGGGAATTAAGGAATAGGAAAAAAATTAATGGGGACTGGAAGAGATGTTGTAATAGTAGACAAAGCTCAACGGTGATTTTCTGAAATCCAGTGCATAAGAATGTTTCTATGAAGTGCAGTGAGGATGGAAGATTCTGTAGAACACAGTGTATATGAACAAAATACAAGGTAAATCAACTATAAGATAAAAAAAGGAGGGAAGAATGGAAAAGATGGAAAGAGATATTATGAAAGGGATGGTGCAGGTTAAAGAGGGGTAGACAAGAATGGGGAGAGGATCATTGGGGTCTTTTGGTGACAGTGTGATAAAAGACATGCATAGGTGGTGGTAGTTAATTGTATGGAATACTGTGGTGTGTATGTGAAGTACTGATGGCCCAGTGGTAAGAAGCTGTCCTGCAATCCCAAAGGCACACAGTGTGAGGCCATCAGGTTCTCTGAGGGAGAAGGATGGATGTTCTCTTCCCGCTGGTGTCATCTGTATGTCAGTTCAGACTATACGGTACACAGCAACACTATGTGTGTGAGGGATTGTGTGGGGCAAAATGTACATACATAAATAAAGGGCAGTATGTAAGGGTGATTATGTATAAGTCAATTTATAATTTGTGATTCATAGTGACTCTGTGTACAACAACCCTAGACCCTGCTCTATCCTGTACCAATCTTATTGTCTCTGACACAACTATCCCAGTTACCCCAGTGACTAAATCAATCCATCTGATCTAGGGTATTCTTCTCCTATGCAGCCCCTCCACCCTCCCAAGCATGATGTCCCTCTCCAAGGACTGATCCCACCTTGCAACAGGTCCAAAGTATGACAGACAGAGCTGCAGAATCCTTGCCTTCACGGAGCATTCTGGCTTCACCCTCTCCAGGATGAACCTGTTTGTTCTCCTAGAAGCCCATGGTATATTCAATATTATTCTCCAGCACTGAAGCTCAAAGGCATCAATTCTCCTATCATCTCAAGTATTTGTCCAGCTCTCTGATGCATAGCAAGTAATAGCAAAGACCATGGCTTGTATCAGGTGCACCTTAGTATCCAAACTGATATCATTGTTCTTCAGTACTTTGGAGAGGTCTCTGACAGCAGACATTCCAGATTAGTGTTCTAGTTTCCTGGCTGCTGGTACCAAGAGTGTTGATTGTAGAGCCAAGCAAACTGAAGCTGTCAACAATCTCAATAGATTCATTATTTATCGTGATGCTGCCAATCAGTCCAGTGGTGAGAATCTTTGTTTTCTTGATGTTGAACTTCAATCCATATTGAAGGCTGCAGTCTTTGACCTTCTGCAGCAAGCGCTTCAGGTCCTCCTCAGTTTCAGCAAGTAGGGCTGTGTCATCTGCATAATGCAGATTGTTGATAAGTCTACCTCCAATCCTGATACCACATTCTTCCTCATAGAGCCCAGCCTCCCAGATAATGTGTTCCGTATACAGATTGAAAAGATACGGAGGTATCAAGACACATCCTTGATACACACCCTTCCAGATTTTGAACCATGCAGTGTTTTCCTTGATCTGCTCTGATGTCTGCCCCCTGGCCCAAGTATAGGTTTCACATAGCACAATCAAGTGTTCTGGAATTTCTATTCTCAGATTCAGCCACGGTTTGTTGAGATCCACACAGTCAACTGGATTTGCATAGTCAATGAAACACAGATAGACACTACTCTGGTATTCTCTGCTTTCACCCAAGATCCATCTGACATTAGCTATAATATCCCTAATTCCACGGCCTCTTCTAAATGCAGCCTGCACTTCAGGCAGTTCTCTGCTGATGTGCTGTTCAAGTAAATGAATACTGGATTTTGTAGATTTAAAATATATAATTCCACCTCTGGTCAAGTCTCAATTTGGAGTACTGAAAGAGAAGATCTGCCCTAGAGATATGCTTGTTAAAGAAAGAAACTTGTAGTGGAAGTTGGGGCTTGGTCAATGAGAAAGATTGAGTTCCACTCAGTACTCTGAGGAGATTTGCATTTAATGGATTTGTGAACTCACATTGAACTTTTGACTGAAAAGATTCACATTTGAAATAAGGGCAAACAGAAAAGGAAAGAAGAAAAAAAAGAAAAGAATGAGACTGGTTTTTAAAACCTGGAACAAGCTGTTTGGCTTCTGAGGCAGGATACATAAAGTTGGCATCCATCAGACCCCACCTCCAAGACTTGAGGTTGGAATATGCTCATTCGTAGCAATCATCTAGATTCACAGGAGTGGAAGTGAGAGGAATATAACAATGGAGAATCAGGCTTGGACGTCTTCCTTCAGTGCTGTTCACCTCTCATGCACAGATGCATGGATGAGTGGGGAAGGGTTATTGGCTCGAGAGGCAGGGAGTCATGAAGACCCCTGGTCTGTTGACTCAATTTGATCCCATGTTGGGGCTAGGGCTAAGTTAGGAGACTCGAACTAAGAACTCCTGAGCTTGCAGCTGATACCCATTTAAACCTAGCCACAGAGAGCTAGGGATGAGTTGATCAAATCAACCAGATAAAGAGAAGATGATCCATGCTTTGAACTAGGGCTGATTGCTACAACTCATTAGTGCTGCATAGTATCTTATTGTGTGTGTTATTGTTATTGTTAAGTGCTGTCGAGTCATAGGCGACTCATAGTGACCGTATGAACAAAAGTCCTCAATACTTGCATGACTTTCATCCTTTCTCCAGGTTCATAGGGTTTCCAGGAGTGGCATCCACTTCCATAATAGCTTGCCTCCAGAAACCCTATTGTGTGTATGTACCACAATATCACAATCCAATCATTTGTTCATGGGAATTTGTGCTGTTTCCATTTTCTTGCTATTGTTAATAGCACTGCTATGATCATAGGTGTACATATGTCTGTTCCATGCCAGTTCTAATAGTTTTCTCTGGACTGGTCTTTGCTTATGGATGCAGATGCTCAAAATTTCCAAGTGTAAACAGAGATTCCTTCAGCAAAAGGGATGTGCTTGTGCTCTCAGAGTGGGTTTGATAGATACAGGCAAATCAGTAACTGGTTATCTAGAAGGGAGATATTAGAGCATAAGGCACGAAGTTGCTGGCTGATACACTTTCATGAAAGTAGTTGCTGGAGGGATGATTGTAAGGGAGGGAAAAACTCTACAATAAAAATGAACTAAGGGGAGCTCTGGTGGCCTAGTGGCAAGGAGCTGCAACTACAATCCCAGAGGCGCATGGTTCAAATCCACCAGATGCTCTGCCGGGGAAGGAGGGACAATCTCCTCCTGTACCAGTCAGATCTGATTTGACGGTACACTCACAGAAAAATAATAAAATAAAATAAAAATGTAAAAAAAAATGAACTAAATATAATGCAAATGAAGGACCATATAGAACACAGTATACATGCATGAAACACAATGTATATGAAGGATAAAAATATTAATAATAAAAAGATCTAAAACTATAAATTAACAAATGAATATGAATATAAATGTAAATAAATAAAAATTTATTATCTAAGATTGACAATTCAATATAAATTATAATACATAAAACATTTTACCATTATATAGAATATATCTAAAAATGCAAATTTACATATAAATATCTAACATATTCATTTCCACTGAGTCTGAATTGACTCAAAGCTGACTCTCCAGTAAGTTTTCTGGGGTTATAAATTGAAAGGGAGGAGACTGGATATTTTTGCCCTGCGGAACAGCTGAACCACCAGAAAGGCTGTCTTTGGAGTATCAATAATAGTTCCCAGGGATTAGGCCGCCAGAGCTTGAGGAGTTTCCCCAGTGTTTGGTGTTCTAGAGTTTGGAGCTAACTGATGTTGGCCATCATGTGTGTGTCCAGAGTCTGTAAATTACAATAAGGACATTGTCTATTTTTCTCTCATGAGCTGATGATGGATTTGAACTGGCTGCTTTTAGGTTAGCAGTGCAGCTCTCTACCGATTACACCACCAAAGCTCCCTAACTTAATATCATATAAATCCATCTAATAATCTTATAAAGTAGGGGGGAAAATCCATTATTTATCCTTTCACATTTCATTAAACCAGAGAATATACTATATTGAATAAAAAAGCAAACCATTCATTTCTTATCTGTTTTACAGGTAGGAAAACCACAATAGGCCCCATTTTTATTTCCCAAATCTTGCCAGTTCAAATATTCTTAAAATAGAGTCTAAATGTTACACAAAAACAAAATCCACCCACCTGTTTGTTATATAGGGGACGCTTAGGGGCATTGATTTCCCTCAGCAAACGACCAGATATGTCCCGTAACTCTAAAAGCCTGCAGGCAAGCTGAGGCTGCAGAAGTTTGGCCACTGATTGAGAGGATCGGGATATGCTGTGTAATCCTTGAATGACTGTTCCTCTATTGACCTTGGCTAAAACATTAGACATTTTGATCTTGGAGTTTTTTCGGATGCGTTCTTTTTTCTAGGAAATAGAAAAAACTTTTTAAAAAGAACTGACATGTGGTTCTCTAGTATATTAAAATCTACTTCAGACAAAGACATTCAGAGTTACATGTAACCTTATATTGTTCAAACACTCAATAGCCAGTAATTAAATTCCCTCCTCTCCAAGTGCAACATAATTGACATCTCTCAGGTACTTGAATCAGTAGGTGAGTAACTTTTTATTTAGGATAAATAGCTACAGGTGCAATTATCATTGTTGTTTTGTGCCATTGAATTGTCTGTGAGTCATAACGACCCTCTATATACATTAGTTCTGTACCTTGGCCTATCTTGAGCCAATATCACCAACTCCAACAGACCTAAGCCTATTGCTTCAGTCAATGAGTCAATTAAACTCATTTTTGATCTTCTTTTCCGGCGCTGTCCCTCCACCCTTCCAAGCAGGATGTCCTTCTCCAATGACTGGACCCTCCTGGCCACATGCCAGAAGTAATGTGAGACAGAGCTTCAAACTACGAGGAGAACTTGGTTTCACTCTCCCTAAGACAGACCTGTTTGTTCTCCTGGAAGTCAACACTCTTCTTCAGCACAAAAACTCAAAGGCCACAATCCAGATTCTATCATCCTTAGTTATGGTCCAGCTCTCTGAGGAATAGAAGGAACTGCAAAGACCATAGTATGTATCAGGCACACTTCAGTCTCTAGACTGACATTGCTGTTCATTTTTCTAGTGAGGTTCCTGACAGCAGCCTTTCCTAATACAGTTCATCTTTTGATTTCCTGACTGCTCGTGTCAAGAGTGTTGATTGGAAAACCAGGCAAGCTGACGTTGTTGATCTCAATCTCTTCTATGTCTCTCATGAAGCTATCAGTTGGCTCAGTCGGGAGACTCTTTGTTTTCTTAATGTTGAGCTTCAATCCATCTTGAAATTACTAGTGAAAAGAAAGAAATTTTACATTTTTGCACCTAGATTTACATATTTTTGCATTTATTTTTGAGGGAGCTCTAGAAAGCCAAATTAACCATCTCAAACAGGTTTGAGGTATTGAATACTAATGAGCAAAGATCAGATGATCTGTGTGAGAATATTAAGAATATCATTCATGAAGAATGTAAAAGGTCATTAGAAAGGTAGAGGAGAAAAAAAGACTTAGATGAAGGTTAGGTGAGGATTTGAATATTTGATATTTCAATGTTGCACTAGAACACTGAGAATCCAAAGCAAAGGGAAGAGATCCAGAGATTGAGCTGAACAGAAGATTTCAAGGGCAGCACAAGAAGACACAGCAACGTATTATAATGAAATGTGCAAAGAGCTAGAAAATCAAAAGGGCTGAACTCACAAGGCATTTTTTAAGCTGAAGGAACTGAAGAACTAATTCAAGCCTTGAGTTGCAATACTTAAGGATGTTTTGAGCAGAACATTAAATCATCCAGGAAGCATTAAAAAGAAGATATAAGGAGTATACAGAGTCATTGTACCAAAATGAATTGACTGACACAGATGAATTTCATGAAACAATGTATAAGCAAGAGCTTGTGCTGATGAAGGAAAAAGTTCAAGCTGCTCTAAAGAAATTGGCAAAAAACAAAGCCCCAGGAAGTGACAGCATGCCAATTGACATTTTTTCAACAAATAGATGCTGCCCTGGATGCACTTAACAAGTTGTGCCAAGAAACTGGAGGAAAACCACCTGGCCAAGTGACTAGAAGAGATCCATGTTTGTTTCACTTCAAAGAAAGATGACCCGAGATAGTGCAAAAATTATCTAACAATATCATTAGTATCATATGCAAGCAAGATTCTCCTGAAAATTATCCCAAAATGACTGGAACAGCATATCAGCAGAGCACTACCAGATATGCAAGCTAGGTTTAGAAGAGGCCATGGTACTAGGGATATGATAGCTAATGTTAGATGGATCTTGGCTGAACCAGAGGAATGTCTATCTGTGTTTCATTGACTAAACAAAGTTATTTAACTGTGTGGATCACAATAAACTGTGGCTAATTTCAAGAAGCCTCCGTTTTGACCTTTCTGCCGGAACGGATGTCACGTGCTTCTAGCGTCTCCGATTACCTGGGAAGATAGGGGGGGGGTCTGCAGGGTCTGGTGGCTGTCGTGTGAGGCGCCCAACTTAAGCCAGTCAGAGCCGAGCCGCCAGGAATAGATGGTATACCAATTGATATATTTCAGTTAACAGATGCTGCCCTGGACGTGCTCACCAAGTTGTGCCAAGAAATCTGGAGAACGACCACTTGGCCAACTGACTGGAAGAGATCGATATTTGTTCCTATCCCAAAGAAAGGCGACCCAACCGAATGTGGAAACTACAGAACAATTTCACTGATTTCACATGCAAGCAAGATTTTACTGAAAATTATCCAAAAACGACTGGAACAGCACATCAACAGAGAACTACCAGAAGTCCAGGCTGGTTTCAGAAGGGGTCGTGGTACTAGAGATATTGTAGCTGATGTTAGATGGATCTTGGCTGAAAGCAGGGAATACCAAAGGAATGTCTATCTGTGTTTCATTGACTATGCAAAGGCATTTGACTGTGTAGATCATAACAAACTGTGGCTGACTCTGAGAAGAATGGGAATCCCAGAACACTTGATCATTCTAATGTGAAACTTCTACTTGGACCAGGAGGCAGTCGTCAGAACAGAGCAAGGGAACACTGCATGGTTCAAAATTGGGAAGGGTGTACGCCAGGGATGCATCCTATCTCCATACCTTTTCAACCTATATGCAGAACAGATTATCTGGGAGACTGGGCTCTATGAGGAGAAATGTGGGTTCAGGATTGGTGGACGATTTATCAACAATCTGCGTTATGTGGATGACACAACTCTGCTTGCTGAAACTGAGGAGGACCTGAAGCACCTGCTGCAGAGTGTCAAGGACTGCAGCCTACAATATGGATTGAGGCTCAATGTCAAGAAGACAAAGATTCTCACCACTGGACCGATTAGCAGCCTCATGATATGAGGTGAAGAGATTGAGATTGTTAACAGCTTTAGTTTGCTTGGCTCCATAATAAACACTCTTGGCACCAGCAGCCAGGAAATTAAAAGGCGCATTGCAATGGGAAAGTCTGCTCTAAGGGACCACTCCAAAGTACTGAAAAGCAGTGATGTCCCTCTGGAGACCAAGGTGCGCCTGACACAGCCCATAGTCTTCGCAATCACCTGCTATGAATCAGAAAGCTGGACAATGACCAAGGAGAATAGAAGGAGAATTGATGCCTCTGAGCTGTGGTGCTGGAGAAGAGTACTGAGAATACCATGGACTGCTAGGAAAACAAATAGATTTGTCCTGGAAAGGGTTAAACCGGGTGGCTCCTTGGAGGCAAGGATTCTGAGGCTCAGTCTAACTTACTTTGGACATGTAGTGAGGAGAGACCGGTCCTTGGAGAGGGCCATCATGCTTGGGAGGGTGGAGGGACGGCGCAGGAGAGGAAGGCCCTCGATGAGGTGGATTGATTCAGTGACTGGGATAATTGGGATGGGAGTGTCAGAGACAGTGCGATTGGCACAGGACAGAGCGGAGTTTAGGGCTGTTGTACATAGGGTCGCTATGAGTCGCAGGCGACTCGACGGCACATAACGACAACAACAACAACAATTTCAAGAAGAATGGGAATCCCAGAACACTTGTTTGTCTTTATGCAAAACCTATACTTGGACCAGGAGGCAGTCATCAGAACAGAGCAAGAAAACACTGCATGGTTCAAAATAGGGAAGAGTGTACACCAGGAATGCATCCTATCTCCATAACTTTTCAATCTATATGCAGAACAGATCATCCAGGAAGCTGGGATCTATGAGCAGGAATGTGGCATCAGGAATAGAGGAAGATCATCAACAATCTGCACCACGCAGATGACACAGCCTTGCTTGCTGTAACTGAGGAGTATCTGAGGCATTTGTAGCAGAAGGTCAAGGACTGTACTTTTCAATATGGGTTAAAGCTCAACATCAAGAAAACAAAGATTCTCACCACTGGTCCGATTAGCAGCCTCATGATATGAGGTGAAGAGATTGAGATTGTTAACAGCTTTAGTTTGCTTGGCTCCATAATAAACACTCTTGGTACCAGCAGCCAGGAAATTAAAAGACATATTGCATTGGGAATGTCTGCTCTAAGGGACCATTCCAGAGTACTGAAAAGCAGTTATGTCCGTGTGGAGACCAAGGTGTGCCTGACCCAGCCCATAGTCTTTGCAATTACTTGCTATGCATTAGAAAGCTGGACAGTTACTAGGGATATTAGAAGGAGAATTGATGTCTCTGAGCTGTGGTGCTGGAGAAGAATATTGAATATACCATGGACTGTCAGAAGAACAAACAAGTTTGTCCTAGAAAGGGTGAAACCAGGCTGCTCCTTAGAGGTTAGTGTTCTGAAGCTCCATCTGACATACTTTGGGCATGTTCCAGACCTTGGAAAGGGACATCATGCTTGGAAGGGTGAAGAGACAGCACAAGAAAGGAAGACCCTTGAAGAGATTGATTGATTCCATTCCTGGGATAATGGAAGTACATGTGTTAGAGACAATAAGGTTGACAAAGGATAGGGCAGGCTTGGAGCTGTTGAACATAGGGCTGCTATGAGTTGCAAGCCACTAGACAACACATAACAGCAGCAACAACTACAAATTAACCAAGTAAATATTATACTGTAAATAAAGCACATAGTAAATAGTTTCCTGAGTGTACTTTCAAAGGGAGCTCTGATGGTATAGGGGCTACACCAACCAAAAAGTAAGTGGTTCAAATCCCCCTGCTGTTCCCCTGGAGAAAAATGGGCATTCTCTTTCCATGTAATTTACATCTGAAAACCCTTTGGAAGGTCAGCTATAAGTTTCTTTTGATTCCACATTACATATCAACATCCTTTCAGAAGTGAAAATTATGAGGTGTTCCTATATATAAACAATACACATTGTATATGTACAACATATGTTTATAGTTAAACAACATTTTGTATACCAGTCAACAAGCTTAAGTAA